AAGTGTTTTCTAAATGGGCCTATACTATAACAGTATAGTAGTGTATTTACGGCTTGCTTTTCATGGGCCCAGGACGCTTGCCTAAACAGCCCATGTTATGCTGTTTGTGGGCCGGGCGGCTAGCAGAGCTCTGCCACGAAATTTACACCAAAAACGCTGAATTCCGACTACAGGAGAGGTGCCGGTAACTGTGAAACAGAAGCAGAAGCAATCAAAGAGGAATCAACACTAAAAGCCCCAAATTTAAGCGTACTGTTTATAATATTGATAGCAAGTCCCTCGTCGAAAATTCGGTATTATCTTTCTCAAATGTTATGTTTTTCTTAGAATTAGAGGCCGATTTCTGAAATTCATGAAGAATAACTTATGTTAATTGGTTAATTGATGCTATGTGAGACTCTTAGTTTGATTTATTGTTCTATATTGCAATCTAAAGCGCTTATAGATTTCATGATCATGTTCAGTTAGCTATAAGAGAATGCATCTAATCTAGCTGTTTTTTCTGGACGCCTCTCTTAGATTTTAAGATCAGATCAGGTTAATCTGTCTACAACATTTCTTCTTACTCTAGCATGGCAACCAGCTACGCAATTCATTAAAAGTCTTGTTGTTCTCATTAGTCATTACATTGTCGAACCAACATTTTGTTCTTTTATTTAGTCAAACACTTCATTCTTTTATACCAAGTACATTACATTATTTTGTGCAAGGACATTGATATGACTAAACATCTTTTATGGTTCCACGTTTCTGAGCTATTCATTCATTTATATATAATAATTAAAGGTGTACTAGTGCTGTTGGCTCTTTTATATTGTTTTGTGTGTGAAAAGAAAAAATTAATTTGTTTGACATAGTACCAATGCTAGGGAAGTCTAGAAAGTGTTGGTGTCCATTCTTTAAATTTGTAGATGTAAAACATTTTAGTATAGACTGATTAATAAAAAGAATTCGTTCAATTATTTTTCAAAATATATGAATTGCAAGTTTGTTAGTGCTACCCTCTTGTTTTAGAGTCACTACTAGTGTAGCACTTTTTACAAAAAAAATTGTTATTTTTAACCATGTAGGAGACCATGGATTAAAACTGAATGGACCAACTTGGCTTGTTTCTAACAAGTTTACCACTTAATTAATTTAAGTGAGATAAGTTCATTTCGTAGTCATTAAATTCTTGGACCCAAATGATATCATATCACTGTACTCATTGATATCTACTATATTTGATTCCATCAGCTCATTTTTAGGGACTCATTTCATATAACTAGAGGATCGAAACTATCATAAGATGGGAAAATATATAATTCATAAATACAAATTTCCAAGACTTGTAATCTATTTTGGGGCAATCTGTTTTCCAATTCATCTTTAATTTGCCTTACATTTTCATTGAAATTTCATAGAAATTACGGATTGTAGGCCCCACACACATAGGCCACCAGTTTGAGGCTGTTCATTTGAATTTTTCGTCTTCACAATTAAGACTATATAAACCCTCATGAGGGGCAGTTTGAATATGCATCACTACCAAAACAAAAAAATCACAAAGATTTGCATTAACATAATGAATCCTTGTGTTTTTTTAATTTTCTCACTTCTCTTGCTAAATGCTGAGACTACAACTTCCAACCAATTGGGAGGAGGAGATGAAAATGGTGTTATTATGAGAAAGTGTTCTGATAAGGAGAGACATGCTCTCCTTGATTTCAAAGCTCGCCTCCAAGACCCCGATGAAACTCTCTCTACATGGAGAGCTGAAGAAGAAGATTATTGTAAATGGAGAGGAGTCAAATGCAACAACCAAACACATCATGTCACAGGGCTTGATGTTGAAGGACTTGGTCTTGTAGGTGAGATTAGCAATTCTTTGCTTAATTTAAGCAGTTTGAATCATCTTGATCTTTCCTACAATTCTTTTAATGGAACCATTTCCACCTTCATTGGTACCATGACTCGTTTAAGGCACCTTGACCTTGGTTGGAATCAGTTTAATGGAATCATTCCCAGGACCATTGGTTCCATGACTCGTTTAAGGTACCTTGACCTTCGTTTCAATCATTTTAATGGAATGATTCCTAGGTCCATTGGTTCCTTGACAGAATTAAGGTACCTTTACCTTTCTGGTAACTCTCTTTATGGAATCATTCCTCGAGAGTTTGGAAACCTCACTAACCTTGTAGATCTTTGGCTTTGAATTGGATCTAGAGTTGAGAACCTCGACTGGTTGTCTCATCTCTCTCATTTGGAGTCACTTGAAATGGATGGGATTTCTCTAGCCAAACAAAATTATTGGGTAGATGTGATTCTGAGTCTCCCAAAACTATCTTCTTTAAGCTTAACAGGATGTGAGCTGTCACAGGTCATGTATCCATATTCTTCTTCATTTCTCAACTCTTCTTCATCTATAAAAACCCTTTTTCTTGGAAACAACAATCTCAACTCATCCATGTATGGTTGGTTGTTCCCATTAACCAGCAATAAGCTTCGCATTCTTGATCTCTCTGACAACATGTTAGATGGGATTCCCAAATATCTTGGTAACCTCTGTAGTTTGCAAATTTTGAGTTTCGATAACAACTCTCTTGTTGTCAATTTTCCTGATTTTCTCAACAACTTGTCATCTGGATGCACATCGCTTACATTACAAAAGTTGCTTGTTGGACATAACCGATTTATAGGGACACTCTCCAATGAGATCCTAACATTCAAAAATCTGGCCACTCTAGATATGAGATCTTGCAATCTAGGGCCTCACTTCCCCAGATGGATTCAAACTCTGAAAAATCTTACATTTCTTGATATTGTCAATAATGGAATTTCAGGCACAATTCCTCTGGGGTTTTGGGACATGTGGCCTTCTCAATTAACACATCTGAATCTCTCTTCCAACAACATCAGTGGGAAAGTACCAGACTTATCTTCAAATTTTGGCAACAATTCTAGGATAGATTTGAGTTCCAACAGATTTTATGGTCCAATAACAAATATCTCTTCAACTGTGGCATTACTAAATCTTTCTAGAAACAAATTCTCTGGAGGAATCTCCTTCATATGCCAATTTGTCGATGGGTTTTTACAATTTCTTGACCTCTCCCATAATGTTCTAAGCGGACAGCTTCCAGACTGTTTGTGGCGTTTAAAAGAACTAAAAATTCTTAATCTAGAAGACAACAATCTATCTGGAAGGCTTCCTACCTCTTTTGGATCTTTGATTAAACTCGAGTCATTGGATTTGTACAAGAACAATTTCTCCGGAGAATTGCCTCTGTCTCTAAAGAGTTGCACGAGCTTAAACTCATTGAATTTGGAGGCCAACAAGTTTTCTGGAAATGTGCCTGTTTGGATTGGGGAAAATTTATCAAGGTTGTATGTTCTTACCCTAAGATCAAACTCATTCTTTGGAACCATCCCTTTACAGTTATGTCAGTTGACTAATCTTCAAATTCTGGATTTGTCAATGAACAATCTCCATGGAACCATCCCCTCGTGTTTGGATAATCTTACAAGAATGGCTCAAGCAGGTTCATTACCAACACATAATGTACATTCCTATACAATTGAATCGTTATCCTCAGGAGATGAGTATGTTCCACTTGCTGATGTGTATGTTGATCATGTGATGATCGAGTGGCAAGGTGATGAACGTGAATTCATCAGAAATTTGGGATTGTTGAAGAGCATTGACTTGTCAAGCAACAACTTAACAGGACAAATCCCATATGAAGTTACCAATCTTTATGGACTGCGTGTACTCAACTTGTCAAAGAATGCTCTACATGGAGAGATTCCGAAAAAAATTGGTCAAATGCGACAGCTTGAAACTTTGGATTTATCTAGAAACAAATTGTCAGGAGAGATGCCATTAAGCATGTCTGGTATGAATTTTTTAAATCATCTAGACGTGTCATATAATAGCTTGTCAGGGAGAATTCCATCCAGCACTCAACTGCAGTCTATTGATCCTTCAAGATACAACGGAAACCCGAGACTGTGTGGACCTCCCCTAACCAAAACATGTCATGGAGATGATGAATCAGAAGTACCACATGTCATTGGTGAGAGTGAGGATGGTGGGGAAGACACAGATGAACTTTGGGGGTGGTTCTATATTGGTGGAGGCACTGGTTTTGCTACTGGATTCTGGATTGCATGTGGTGCTCTACTTCTCAATCGTCGTGGGAGACATGCTTTTTTTCATTTTTATGATAGCTTCAAAGATTTGGTGTATGTGAAGGTGATGGTGGTCTTTGCATATCTGCAAAGGATTGAAATGTAGTTAATGTTGTATTTTTTTTAATAAACAATTTTATGGGCCAATTCTCAATGTAGGTTATCTGTGGAATTGATGCTTGAAGATGGTCCATTCATATACACTCGTTACTAACATGGTTTAATTTATGGGTTATTTACAAAAATTGGCTAGCTAAACTGGACTAATAGACCGATAAACAAAGAACATGAACTCTAAATTTGGGATTTTCAGTTTAGAGTTTCTATGAAAGCAGGATTTGGCTATATACTAGAATAATTATGTCTTTTTGATTGCATTTAATTGGCATGCATTAGGTTTAATACGGAACTCCTCTAATTAGAGTATATTTCATACAGATTCTGTGGTTTTGATGTCTTTCTATGTATTTCACTATTTTCTCAAATTATATTCTATGTTATAAGGTAAGAATGCTTATTAAAAAGGAAAGAATTTTGTATATACCTTTATTAGACGTCTAAATATCATATTTACCCGATCAAAAATCTATATATCATATTTGTCCTTCCTAATATTTTAAAATATCGGATTTTCCGCAATCTATTTTTTAAATAGTTTTTATTATTTAATTATCATTTTTTACATTTTAAAGTCATTAAAATTGAAAAAATATCTAAATGGACTATAATACCCTTAATCTCTATATCGCAGGAATCCCCATTTACCTGTTGGCTGCTGCAATGATCGATTGACATATGATCATCGTGTTTAGTCTTTCTGCGTGCGTCTTCTTTTTGCCTTCTCGCCCAAATCTTTGTTCCAATCGGCTACAGTTTTCTGGTAATTTTATGGTTTTCTTTGTCAATTGAATATTCAATTTGTGATTGCTAGGTCGCCTACGCATCTGGAGTCTCAAATTCTTGAAGCCCCTGTATCAAATTCACAATTCCCTTTTCCATAAATGCCATTCTTTTAGGTCACGAATCAAAATCACATGCTTAATTTTGGTTCTGGATTTCTAATGTTTCATTTATACCACAAGTACAGTGGTGTTGATTTCAAACTATAATGTATTTTTGGTATAGATGTGTTGTTTTCATGTTATTATGTATTATGCTTTACAGGCAACTTTTGCTGAATTAGATGATGGACAATCCTTACCAAGTTTTCTGAAAAGTACACAGCCAATATTGGTAGCTACAGTGAAATACATTGCTATTTATATTATATACTTGTCTTTTCCCATCATCTTTCCGAGTCTGATCAATATTATGAAATTAGTATAGGAAACTGTTACAGAATTGGATGATGAACAATCTGAATCAAGTTTCATCAATAGTGCATAGGAAACAAACATAGATGCCATTTTCAACCATGATAGATAGCAAAAAAGTCTTGATGGACAGGAACCTTCACAAAAACTTTGTGAAAATCTACCTAAGCATGGAACTTTTTTTTTTTTTTTCAAAATACAATGACTTAATAAGAATAAGAAAAAGAAATGGAATGAAAGTGGAATGCTGATAGAGTTTCATGCATGTCCATTTGGTTGATGGTAATTCGGTATCAGTAGACGTTGACATTCCAGATAAGTTGAAACCTAATCATGAAGTTCCCGAAAAGTAGGTGCATTTTTTTTGGAAGTAATATTTGAAAGCTTTTTTGTAAGTTGGACCTAATCATTAAGTACCTGTAATGCAAAATAGCATGAGCCTCATGTTTCATCAAAAAGGTGGATTTTTTTAAATATTTGGTTTTTGTAATTTAGAGTTTAAAAGCTTAAAATGGTTTGGTTTTTATACAACCACATGATTAATGAATATGGGAATTTATGTTGCAGGCCCGTGGAAGTCAAAAGATAAGGTAGAGAAGTCAGAAAGTTGAATGGTAATTCAGGATTTCCTTTTTTGCATCTTTCAAGCCGATACTCCTTCAAATTCAAAGACACAGATGTTGGTTGTTATTTAAAATAACATTATCAAAGTGTGTTGTTTTAAATAGGTGTAGCTGACGTCCGCCTGTTACCTCTTTTTAATTTAGAGCTACCGATGACGATCAATTAGAAGTCGCTCATTATGCATTATTGGGTCAATATTGTTTTTATGTTACATTATAAGTCCAACACCATTCCTTTTATGAAATTGCTTTCCATATTCTACCACCACAATGATATAACTAAATATTTTATATGGTTGTAATTGTATCAATTACTTATATTTAGAAGAATACAAATGTGAGACTAAAAATTGTCATGTAGTTTTCTTCTTTAGCGTATGGCACAGAAAAGTGTATATGTTGGTTCTCATAATGATATTTTCTTGCTAACAAAAAAACATTTTGATATTGTTATCGTCTCAATCTACCCTAATAATCTACTCAAATAAATAAATAACATTTTTGCCAAATGTCATATTCTCATTGTATTTGCCACATGTAATTTTGTGAGTTTTTTTTGAATAAATTTAAATCCAAATGTCATTTTGTGGTTTTTTTAATTAAATTTAATTAATATGCCACATCATACTAATATTTATATTTATATATGTAATGTAATAAATACATTGAATGTGATAATATAGGCAATGAATCGTAGAAAAAAATCTACCATAATAAATAATGATCATTTTTTTTGTCAAATGTCGTCTTCTTATTGAATTTGCCACATATAATTTTCTGATTTTTTTAAATAAATTTAAATCTACATGTCATTTTATGGGTTTTTGAATTAAATTCAACTAATATGTCACATCATACTAATATTTATATGTGTAATATTCAAGGTTCTAAAAAGCTCGTCATGGCTCCGTTATAATGCACCATGGCTCCAAGGCTTGTACCTGCCGCCAAGTTTTATCAAAACACCGCCTTAACTCATATATGTGTAACACCCATAAAATTCAAGCCAATTTAAAACTTTTTAAAACATTTAAATCATTAAGTTATTACAGTTTGTTTTCAAAATAGTTTATACATCAGAGTTTTCCAGAAATCATAATCGTCAAACGAGGAAGTGTACGGTCACGCCTTCGTCTACCCGCGGCCATCTGCTAAACCTGAAACAATAAACTGAAACTGTAAGCCCAAAAGATTAGTGAGTTACCCCCAAAATTCCAACCTCATATAACCATAATCATATCATATCAACAAATACAGAACAACCATGCATCTCGAGTATACAGTGTGGCTGGTCCGCCCGCACCGGGCCATTAGTCCACCTGGTCCACTCTCTGAGTCTACAGTATGACTGGACCGCCCGCACCGGGCCTACAGTCTATCTGGATCTATCCCGAGCCTTCGGTATGACTGGACCGCCATAGGGGCCTACAGTCTATCCGGACCGCTCGTAGGGTATGTTAGCCTTCAGCATAAAGCAAGACCGCCTCAACCCAAACATCAAGCAATTAACCATGTGCACATATAACAGGTAATCACATGACAGTCCATAGACAAACGAACCGATCTAGCAGATCATATAGTATAGCAACACCCTAACCAAGATACCGACCTAACCGATCACTAACATAGCATCATCCTATATACCAGGATACCGACCCTAACTAGGTCACTGACATAGCATCATCCCATATACCAAGATACCAACCTAAACCAGGTCACTGACATAGCATCATCCTATATATTAGGATACCGACCTAAACCAGGTCACTAACATAACACCGTCCTAATTACCAGGACGTTGATCTAACAGGTCAATAAGCACATCAAACAAGTACAAGTGTACAATCCGCAAAGGGCCAGCCTTGGTGCCTTAGACCCTGTTGATAGAGTGAGGATAACTCACCTCGAAATGCCGAACTGAAGAGGTACGATCAAATCCCCCGATCACGGCCACGAACTCTACCACCTAACACTTTGATGAAACCATATATGTAAGTGCCCAAATTACTAGAATGACCTTGGAAGTCAAAATGGTCAACTCTTGGTCAAAGTCAAAGTCCTGGTCAAAGTCAGCCTTCCTGATTGACCCTACTCGCCGAGTCAGCCCGTTGACTCGCCGAGTTCCTAAACTCAGAAAATCCTCATATCACGACTCAACTCGCCGAGTCACTCCATGACTCGTCGAGTTCATAAATCCCCGACTCCTAGCCTGTCCAACTCACCGAGTCACCACTCAACTCACTAATCCTTATCATAACCAGATGGGTTAGGGTTTGCGGCCCGACTCGTCGAGTCCAAGAACAGGCTCGCCGAGTTCACTTAAGCCATCCTCATTCAGACGATTTCAGTCCATCCCACTGCTTCCAACTCATAGATCTGG